AAATTTGTCACCTGACATGCCATTAAACACATCTCTTACCCCGACCATGGTGGTAGCTCATGTACCAGCTTGATGCAGTCAGAAGGGGTTCACACTGCACACCGCTGGTTCCCTCACTTAATTGGGGTCATTTCTCAGTGGTGGGCCCTGCTATGGATATGTGGGAGGTGGCTTAGCCGCCTTTTCAGAAACTCAGCTGGGGAACCAAATTGCAGGCATCCTCAAGGCCTCTATGCAGGGGCCTTAACCTCTGATCAGGGGTGGCTCTGGCTGTCTTGTGAACTGTCTCCAACCTCCAGACGGACTTCCTTTCCAGGGCCTTGAGGCGGCGAAACGAACGGTTGGCCGAGGTGGAAATTCTCTGCCCTGTCTTCTACGGGGTCGTGAGCCACCTTCCTTGGGGAAGACTTCTGCCCTTAGCAGTTTTTATCCTGTGTTCCCCCAAAGCATCTTTGTTTGAACTCAGGCCTTTTACCAGGGCCCCATCTGGTAGCCTACACCCTTGGTCTCTTTAAGTGGCTATTGGGGCCCAGCTACATCTTGAGGAGGTAGCCTTAATCCGGGCAAGGGCACCTCCAGGACAGTGAGGCTGACGGTGCTCTTGGCAGGGAGGGCTGGCCCAAGGCCAGCTTTAGGCCCACGCGTCCTCCCCCTGCTGCATGGTATTCCTGGGGAGGGGCCTGTAAGATTTGCTTCTCACCCACTCCGAGCAGAATGCTTTGTCTGGGGAGGAGGCAGCCAGTCTAGACCTGAAGCCCGGTCTGTTTGATGAGTAAGGTGGCCCGGAGGAGACCGAGCGTAGGTCCCTACTGCACGGTTACGCATACTACACTGGACTCCTGGCTGTAGCTTACTCTCACTCTGGTCTGGTGATGGCCAAGGTAGTTTTTAGAAATCTATTTAAAATATCTATCTGTATCTACTTACTGTGTTTTCTGAGTACGCAAATGTAAATAGTACAATTTGCAGTGCAAAGTCCTTCGCAATAACTTTGTTGTGTATTATGTTAAAAACATTGGCAACCGTGACTACCATGGACTGTTCTTCCCTTCGGGGCAAGGATACATGTAGGACTCTGAACTTTAAACCTTCGGCGTGGTTGAAGCAGCAGCCTGCATGTGTGGACTGTCACCAGTGCCTCGCCCAGAGATGCCTGGCCTTCACCCAAAGGGATTCTCTGCCACCCCGACTCCCACAGGCAGCGCCCACACTGAGGGGCCTTCGCGCTGACCGCTGGACTCTGCCATAGACTGACCCTCTTGTCTGGCTGCTGCAGTTTGTCTGTAATGCCCCGATATGTTGCATTTTTCCCATTTGGATGAATAAAAATAAAAGCTTCTGTCTTAAGCAGCGACGGGCTGAACTGTTCTGTGCGGGACCTTCTCTGGTTAAATGAAGGTTCCGACTGCGGTGAAAGGGTCAAGTGCACGACCACTTTTTTGGCACTTACGGTGCTCTGGCTCAGTACATGTGGCACAGGGATGAGGGGCCGAGGCCTAATTCCTGTTTACAGGCCTTTCCAATGAGATGCAAAAAGTTTGCACGACCTCAAACTTGAACCCAGCACAGCGAGTAGTGAGTTATGGGTGCTGAATCCTGAAACTCAGAAGTGACCGGGTGCTTGTCACTCATCGCACTCTTAATCCTCACACTTTGGAGCCCAAGCCCAAGCCCACCTCAGCCACCTCGAAGAATGAGGACAGAGGCCCAGGGCCTGCTGCTGCCCCCGTCCAGGTAAGCCAAGAGCTGTGTGGACAAAGGCGCTGGCTGTTTTACTTCATTTTGTAACTTGGGGCCTACCTTTTCCCTGCGCCCCTTCGCCTGGAGTTACAACCATGCTAGGACAGGGGAAGAGGGCTGGCCAGGCCCGCTGCTGCCACCTGCAGCCTCACGCCCAGGCTGGCCTCTGTGGGCATGAGGGGGAGCCAAGCCAGGCTTGCTTGTTCTTGGGCCCTGGACGTGGTGGGACCTGGTAGAAGTTGAAATCCCAGCTCTTGTGATCACAGGCAAGCCTTTCAACTTTACCTGGAAATCTGAGAATAACATCCCTTAACTCACAGGGTGTTCTGGCAGCTGGAGCGTGAAGAGCCCAGAGTTCAGCAGTAAGGAGTTGAGTGACCCCTAGGAGACAGGCACCGAGCCCTTTGCGCAGGTAAGCAAAAGGACTTGGAAAGGTTCAGTACTTGACAGGTGTGTATCCAAGGTGGCCTTGAACCCAGGGTTCAGGCCCCAAGAGTCCAGGTGTGCTACCTGTAGTGAAGAGCTATGAGAGCTATACCCACCTGCTGCCCACACGGTCATCTTAAAGTAGCTGCCCTGCTGGTCATTGGGAGTTAGAGACGTGGCTTAACATCCTAACCATGTTGTCTGGGCCTGGAACCTCTCTATCAGCCCAATTTCTTCACCTATAAAATGGGGAAGGGCAGAGAACTTAGTACTGGGTCCTCCTGTTCTGGGAGCGTGTGCCTTGGCCATTCTGTGTAGCCCTAATCCTCACGTCTGTCCTTCTGCCCTTCTCCGATCCCCGCTCCCACCCACAGTGAATCTTAGATTTGAATCTCAGTGTCAGAATCAGGCATATCTCTGAGCTAGGGAAGCATCAGAAGAATCCTTTAAACATCCAGACAGATGACGATATAGGCTCAGAGAGGCCAAGCACGAGACGCTCCCAGGCCCCAAGGGGCCTTATCAGCGATTTATTCCCCTCTGCGTAGACTCAGGTTTTCACAAGCGTTGAGTCGGTTCAGAGCTGGGACTGGGGTTCCAGGCTCACGTTTAGCTTCACTCCTTTCGTCACTCACTCCTAGGGGACTTTAAGGCAGATGCCTCGTCTCACATCCTGAGCTGCCTCCTTCCCCACCACGCCCGAGTTATTAACAAGGTTCCATCAGCTCAGGTTCAGGAGGGCCTGCTGGATGGTCCGCTCAGCCTGTCACACACTTTCACTTACCTAGTGAGCAGCCCCGAGAGCAGAGTCAGGGGAGAAAAGTGGCCACGATCAGGGCCAGGCCCTGAGTTTCCCAGCGCAGGGCCTCATGCTCCTCCTTCCACCGTTCCCCCAGCTGCCCTGCTTCCCGACGTCGCTTCATGGCCAGGCTTCTTCAACGCTGCCCTTGTCTCTGCTTCCTTCCCTCCCCTCGCAACCCACTGCAGCCTGGTCTCTCTACCGCACCCCTCTCTTGAGCACCAGTCACCAAACCCTTTCCGGTGCTGCCCGCAGCCCAAGGCAGAGCTCGCGCGTTCTCCTGTCCAGGTGGCCACAGCCTTATTCCCTGCTCCAGGTCCTCTCCCCTGATGGCGGTCGCTAGACCTCCACCTAGCCCTTGCTTAAACCTGCACATCCCTGGGCAGTCTCACCCATGGTCCTAGCCTCTGCTTACACGCCAGAGCAGGAGTTCTCGACCAGGGGTGTCGTGTCGCCCCTACCCCGAGGACATTTGGCAATATCTGGAAACATTTTTGGTTGTGACAACTGGTGATAGGGATGCTGCTAAGTGACTATATGGCACAGGACAGTGCCACACAACAAAGAATGGTCAGTGTCGAGGCTCGTAAACCCCATGGTGGCGCTGCCCACACAGTTCCCGAGTGGCAGGACTGTGGACATCCCCAGCATGTGTTTCACAGGCGACCTCAAATCCATACGCTGGAAGCTCGATTCATCCTCCTGGCATTTCCTGCCCGTGCCCTCACCGAGTTACACTGACTCTCCAGGAATTCTTCTCAAATCTGGCTTCCGCTTCTGCTTCAGACTTCTTGGCCCAGGTGGCCTCAGCTAACTCACCCAGTCCCCTCTCTTGTCAGACTGCAGGGCTGTTTCTGCCACCTGCACGTCTTCCTGTATCTGTCTCCGCGAATCCCCGGGCCGTCAGCGCAGGAAGCTGCCTCTGCCATTCCAGCTCCCTCCGCTTCCGCACGGGCCCACGTACCTGTTAGAGCACGTCGTGTGCAGTGGCAACTATTCTTCTTAACCTGGTCTCAACATATCTAGGGGACCTCCCGGAGAGCAGGGCCCCTCTGGGTCACGTGAGGCCCGTGTGCCGAGTCTGAGTGGCACGCGGACTCCTCGGTCTGGGCTGGGGTGAGGATTTCTGCCCAGCGCCTACGCTCCTGAACGCTGGGACTCTGGGGACTGGAAAAGCCTAGACAAGGCTGTGCTTCTGGATCCCTGTCCCGCTGGGCCAGGAATGCGGACCCCAGAAATACGCCCACCAGCCTGTGGGCGGCAAAGGGGTCCCCACTGTGCTCTGAGCCCCTGCCACGGCCCAGGCCCCAGCCTCGGGGCGGCCTCACTCACCACCTTCCCTTCTTCGTGGCCTGCGTCTTGGCCCGCTTCCATCCGAAGGCCGGGTGTGCCTAGGGTCCTGGAGGGCAGGTTGAGCAGGGGGGAACCGTAGGGTTGGGGGCACTGCTCTTCTTCCTGCCACAGAGAAGGGGGCGAGGTGGTAAAGAAGGACAGCAGAGGGCCGGGGGAGCCTCATCCCCGTGGCGCAGGGCTGTGGGCGGGCCAGCAGTGACCGGAAGAAACTTTCTAAAGGCTGGAGCTGTCCGTGCCACCACTCCTGAAAGCTCCGCAGGCAGAACGGG